GTGACGGCTCGACAGGCGACTGTAGCCATTGTAACTGCTCGACAAGCAGAGAGACGGCTCGACAGGTGTCAGGCGACAGGCGACAGAACAATTTTGTTTCATGTGAATGATCATCATGTGTGTTGCACGCTGTGTTGTTGCTCTGTGATGGCTTTCCAAGCTTGATTTTGAACCCCTGTCCCCGCAGGAACACTCTGGCCAACAGCTGTGGGACCGGGATCCGCTCGTCCACCAACGACCCGAGCCGCAAGCCGCTGGACAGCCGCGTGCTGCACGCGGTCAAGTGTGAGTGACTCGTGTTTACACCGATCTTCAGCTTCACCGACAGGCAGACCTGGCCCTGCTAGCAATACCAACTAGTTACAGCAGGGGGCACTGTTTGTTCCTGAAGCCCTGCATATCAGTGGAAATGAGTTAAGACAGCCCTGGGGCCCTGGGTTCAGGAGCTTGTCCTCCTCGTAATCGCTTGGGTTTCCTCCCACAGTCCAAACACATGCTGGCAGCTTAAGGGGCTTCTGGGAAAACTGGCCCTGGTGTGAGTGTGTGTCTGTATGCCTTGTGACGGTGTGGTGCCCCGTCCAGGGTGTACCCTGCCTTGTGCCCGTTGCATGCTGGGCTAGACTCGGCTCTGCCAAGACCCCGAGTTGCAAGAAGCAGATAGAAACGCTTGGTCTTCAGTCAAAGGGGGCCGTCTGGGTGGGCTTTTCTCACTGCGACCTCCTCCTGTCTCGCCAGTCTACTGCCAGAACTTCGCCCCCAGCTTCAAGGAGAGCGAGATGAACGCCATCGCGGCGGACATGTGCACCAACGCGCGGCGCGTCGTGCGGAAGAGCTGGATCCCCAAGCTGAAGATGCTGATGGCGGAGGGCGAGCCGTACCCCAACTTCCTGCCGGACAGCGTGAAGATGGAGGCGGACGGGCTGGGCGCGGAGCACGGCTTCGAGGGGGGCGGCCTGGAGGCCACGGCCCCCAGCGAGGGGGGCAGCTCCAGCGAGGCCCTGCAGGGGGGGGCCGGAGACAGCAGCACTTTGTTTTAGTAAGTGACCCCCCCCCACCCCCCCCGCCAACTCCAGGTGTCACCCACAGTTCAGCTCTGGAAGAGTTGGGGGGGGGCGTATCGAGAGGCAGGGGGTTATGGGAAAGGGGGTAGCTGCGGTACAGCAAACGAGAGGTTAATGCACCCTTTCAGCGCAAGAAAGGCCCCTTGCCCACCTCATCTGCTCTTAAGTTTGCTTTTAATTTAAACTCCTGGTCCGGGCCGGTCGGGTCCGGTCCGCCTACCCTGGGGAAGAGCTGCGATCACGGCCTGCGATTCGAATCCAGACCTCTTCTCCGAGTCGAAGAAACACATTCCCCACTCGAGGCCAGGGAGAGCGCGGGGGAGTCTGCACGTTGCTCTGAAACACTGTCCTGATTCTTGAATGTATTTGACGGCAGTATTGGCTGCGCTGGCCAGCCGCCCTGACGTGACGGGCGGATTCGTGTCCGTCAGTCTGTGTCACGGCCGTTCCAGTCACCCCCCCACTCGCCCCTCCTCTGAATTCTGGGTGGCACGTTCTGACCAGAACATTGACCATTTCTCTTCTTTTAATTACTTTGTTGTTTTTTTTTTTCTTTTATACAAAATTGTGTTTTGGGCTTAATTCTCTTGTGCGTAAGCAACATGCCAAGAACCCGGAGACAGAGGAGCAAGTTACTGAAGACACGGGGAGAGAGAAAAGACTGTCGGATATTTTTTAGAATATATATATAATTATATACCTGCGTCTCTGTGCGTGCGTATATAGAGAGAAAGAGAGGGATTGTTTTAAAATCTCGTTTTCAGACTGAATTGTTTGTGAAGGTAATTCCCACTAAAGTTTATGAGAAAATGACGAAAAAAGAATATTTTTGCATTTGCAGATCTATCCAAATGTTCCTTTTTGTTTGTGTGTCCCGTGGCGTGTCCGTTTCTGCCCCAGGCTCACTGGGCAGCAGCTGCTTTTAGTTCAGAACAGGCCCCCTGTCCCGCCGGCCTCCCCCCCCCCCTCAGGGTTTGGGGGTGCGGGGGTGTCCCACGGGGCATGGCCAGGATGTGGGCGCGCGCGGGCGTGTGTGGGTCGGGGTGCCACACACCAGTACGAGCCTGACATGCAGGAGGGGCTGGGAGGTCAGAGGTCAGAGGGCAGCTGGAATCAGGGGGTGGAGTACAGTGGGGGAAATACTCGGGTGTCCGAGAAACGTTCTCTTACTGCAGTTTCAGAGGAACGACAGTCATTTTCCCCCTGTGGGGTCAAGTGGCTTTGCTGAAAGGCAGCCTTGGCTCTGAAGGGCGATAGAAGGAGGGGGTCACGCTTGTAAGAAACTCGTTCAACCCTGCGAGAAAAACGAGTTTGCTCTCCTTGAGAGATTAAGAAGTTAAAAAAGCAGTTGCACTAGAGCTGCCGCCCCCTTGTGGCTGGGAGGTACAATCACAGCGCTACCGATGGCCTGGTGCTGGCCCCCTGGCCTTGACTGGGGCAGCGTGTCTCTGGGTTATCGGGTAGCTGCCGTGCCGGGGGGGGGGGGTGTCATCAGCTGTGTCTGGGGTCCTCCCAGGTCCCAGCATGTGAGCTGGGGGAGGGGCTGTGGGTTCAGAGCTGCCAGCTGTCCGCTAGGCGCTAGGTAGACAACTTCCTCTGGTCCAGTTTCACCAGAAGCAGGAGAGGAGAAAATTTGCACACTTTTAAAACGTGTTTCAATGCTGCCTTAATGAAAGAGTTTGTGCCTGGGAGTTGGAGAGACAGGAGCAGGTGTGGGAGTCTGGGGGTGTGTCTGTTGTCTGTTGGCGGTGCATGTGTTAGGCTCTGAGTGTGTGTGCGGACACACAAACACAACTAATGACCGCAAGGAGAAGTTTGAGAGAGACAAACCCGAGTGTGTGTGTAATGGCCTGACATCTGGGTGCCTGACTGGAGCTCTGTGTGGACGTGTGTGTGTGTCCATTGTGTGACTGGGGCTCTGTGTGGACATGTGTGTGTCCAGTGTGTGACTGGGGCTCTGTGTGAACGTGTGTGTGACTGGGGCTCTGTGTGAACGTGTGTGTGTTCAGTGTGTGACTGGGGCTCTGTGTGGAAGTGTGTGTGTGTCCACTGTCTGACTGCTGAGGGCTCTGTGTGTGTGTCCACTGTCTGACTGCTGAGGGCTCTGTGTGTGGACGTGTGTGTGTGTGTGTCCACTGTCTGACTGCTGAGGGCTCTGTGTGTGGACGTGTGTGTGTGTGTCCACTGTCTGACTGCTGAGGGCTCTGTGTGTGAACGTGTGTGTGTGTCCACTGTCCGACTGCTCTGTGTGTGGATGTGTGTGTGTGTCCACTGTCTGACTGCTGAGGGCTTTGTGAGGACGTGTGTGTGTGTCCACTGTCTGACTGCTGAGGGCTTTGTGAGGACGTGTGTGTGTGTGTCCACTGTCTGACTGCTGAGGGCTTTGTGAGGATGTGTGTGCGTGTGTCCACTGTCCGACTGCTGAGGGCTCTGTGTGTGGACGTGTGTGTGTATCCACTGTCCGACTGCTGAGGGCTCTGTGTGTGTGTCCACTGTCTGACTGCTGAGGGCTCTGTGTGTGTGTCCACTGTCTGACTGCTGAGGGCTCTGAGGACGTGCGTGTGTCCAGTGTGTGACTGGGGCTCTTTGAGGATGTGTGTTGTGTCAAGCAGGCCTGGGGTGAGTCTGTGGAGTCCTGTGAGGCTCTCTGCAGAGTCTGTGTTTATCTGCACCTTCTGTAAAGTGATTGTTCCATGTTTCAGAGGCTGGGCTTTCTTGGAATGCAAGCAGTGCCGTCTTTCTGAGTCAAAGTGATTCCTAATGTAAATATTAGCAAGACTGTCTTACTGATACTGTTTTTATTGTTGTTTTCTGTCAGAGAACTGTGTTAATTGAAAATGTAACAGATTGCCAAGAGTTTGACGCTGACTGTCAGGTGTGGAGCACTGGGCCCAGCCTGGAGCAGAGAGAGAGACAGGGCCTGTCAGGTGTGGAGCACTGGGCCCAGCCTGAATCAGAGAGTGACAGGGCCAGTCTGCGGTAGAGAGAGACAGGGCCTGTCAGGTGTGGAGCACTGGGCCCAGCCTGAAGCAGAGAGAGAGACAGGGCCTGTCAGGTGTGGAGCACTGGGTCAGTGTGCAGTAGAGAGAAAGACAGGGCCTGTCAGGTGTGGAGCACTGGGCCCTGTAATAAGAGTCTAGGCAGGACAGACACAGCTCAGACAGAACAGTGAAGGGATATTTTCTCGGTGTGATGTTCTTCTCGGTGTGTAACAGCGTGTTGGTGTAGATTTCAAAGTGGCAGTTTGGTTTGTGATGTCTTTCTCCCTCCAGGGTAGAGGGACTAACTGCTGTTGCCTTACTGTTGCTCATCGGTGTCTGTCAGCAGTCTGGTGGCTATCGCTGATGTGCCGTTGACAGATGCACACAGGAAGTGTGGAGCTGTGGGTGCTCCCAGGGTCACAGCTCTGTGGGGAGATACTGGTCTCTGGAACAGCAGAGCGGGCGTCTCTTGTCTCTTCTTCCGGTTTTTATTTTTCCTTTTTCGAAGTACCGTAGTATTAGGCTGTAAAAAAACATACTACTAATCCATGATTAACCAGTAGAGTTGCCCATAGTGAGGTGTGCGGTGGCGGGGAAGAGGACGGGATTGTGGACATGGTGGAGGGCAGTACAGGCCCCAGTCGGACTCCACCCCGAACGCACGAGCGAAGGTGGAGGTGACACCAGAGGGGGCCGCTCGGCCGCCACTCCAGTCCCAGCACCCTCCTGGGGGCGAGATCTCTCTGGCACGGGCCAGGCCTCGGCACACGGCCCCCGGGCCCCCATCGGCCCTCCCGCTCTCCAGTCCCCTGCCGCTTTAGGGCTGAAAATCTTTTGCAAAGTTCCCACCCACCCAGGCCGGGGGGGCGTGGGGTCTGTGTGCCTGGAGTGGGGGGCCCAAGCCCGCTGTCGCAGTGCACAGCCACCAGGGGGCGGGCGTGCACAGCCGGCCCCTGCCTGGCTGTGGCATCCCCCCACGGCTCTGGAGCCTTCCGGGAGAGCTCTCCCCTTTCCCGTCATTCCAAGGGCCGTGCACGTTGTATCCCGGCCAGAGTCGGTGTGGGACGAGGAGTTTTTCCGGCTTGTTGTTTCGGACCGAGCCGCGGGGCCGTCTGGGGTCCCCAGGGAGGGGCGGGGGCGTGCTGGGAGCCGAGGGAGACGAGAGGAGCTCTGTTCGCCCCCCTTCGGTCCGGGAGCTCCTCTTCCTTGCCTCCAGCCCCCGGCCGGCGGGAGGGGTTCGCTCAGCCAGAAGCGGGGTGTCTTGAGGGAAGGAGAGCGGGCCTATCCGCTCTCCCCCAGGGGCCGAGCCCCTGCCCCTCCCAGCAGTGCAGCAGGGGCCAGCAGGTCCTTTCACTCTATATATACTGTATATTATACATAGAAGCACTAATGAAGTTTGATTGTTAGTTGTGCACTCACAGCATGAGGTATTAATCCAGAAGCGCTTTCCAGACCAACGCAGTAGCCTCTACTGATGTCAAAGCCCCCCCGCTGTGAATCCTGTAACGCCAGTGTTTATTCTGTGTTCAAAGTGCCAATAACTTTGTGAATTCCTAACTGTGACCCAATAATAAAGATAATTGCACATTAACTACTGTAAAAAAAAAATCTGAATATCTTAATAAAAAGTTTGTAACAAAAAAAAAAAAGGGGGGTGTCCTGCTCTTTCTACCGCCGCTGCAGGGGCAGAGGGGCGTGGGAGAGGAGCGTGCCCGTTTCGCCCACTGCGGTGGAAAGGGCTGCTGGGGAAATGGAGCTGGATCTTTCTCTGAAGCCCCTGGCTTGCCCAGGCCCGTCGGGATCGGTCCAGCGCTTGAAGAGAAACGAGCCTGGACTCCTCCATGCGTCACACCACCGCGCGTGAAGTCACCCGTCCAAGCCCTGTCCCCAGGGGCCAGACGCCGTCGAGAAAGAGCTTGGACGCGCACGCGCAGACCCCTGCGCCACGGTCAGGGCCCGCGGTTCATGGTAAAGGTGCAGTACATTTGGCACGTGTCATGAGAGGGGATGTTTAGAATGCTGGAGTGAAGTGTGACCCCCCTGCAGAAAGCTGTACCCCCCAAAAGTACTCAACAGCCTCCCACACCCCCCTTATGCAAACACACGGCACTTCAAAAACAACTGTACAGCTGTATTGACAAGATCAAGGTGTATTATAAAACAGTCCTGTAATAAAAGATATTTTACAAATATAAAACCGTAAATACATTTCTGGAGACCAGAAATCTTCTCTGCCTAAGGCAAAGCAGAGTGCAGTACCATCAGCACAGCCCAGGGCCCTCTGCAGAGCTGTGTCCCCTCAACACAGCCCAGGGCCCTCTGCAGAGCTGTGTCCACTCAACACAGCCCAGGGCCCTCTGCAGAGCTGTGTCCTGTTAGCAGAACCCAGGCCCATTAATCAGAAAAGCCCGCTAAACACCTGTCAGACAGCAGCACACAGCAGCCATCTGCCCTCTTTTAAAAAGCGGGCCCGTCTGGACCCGCCCTACATCTGCAGCAACTGTGTACGTAGGGACTCAGGCACTCACCCCAGGAGATCTCCCCCAGGCCTGTTAATCACAGCCCTTAATTAAACTCAACTGTCAGATCGGGCCTTTTGCCCACACTCCCAAAGGGCCGGCCCAGATCCACAGAGCCCTTCGCAGGCAGGAAATGGGGTGGGGGAGTCCCGAGGATCCGCGGTGTTGCTCCATAAGGATTCGGGGAGGGGGTACCCCAACAGCATGGCGGCTGAGCTGGTTCCAGGACGAGGGAACCTGCCAGCTAACAGCTGTGGAACAGCAGCACTGCGGCTTCAGCTCTGTCAAGGCTCAAGTAAGTGGCTATAAAACATTCAAATTTACAGGTAACCAGCAGCTAGTTCAGCAAAGCACTGGGGGTAAGAGGACTCACCGCCGGGACTGGGCTGCATGAGAGGTCAGGGAGACTGTGAGGTCAGGGTGGGGTGACCTGCAGGTACCTCTCCCATCTCGCCTTGGAGACACCGGGGCTTCCCAAGGGGAGGGCAACAGGCTCGCTGGCAGCGAAAGAGTTAATCAGAAGGATCACTCCAAGCAGCACCTCGTTATTGATCCCACAACCCTCGGGGGATTCCGGGTCCAATCCGGGTACCCACAGAGTGGTCCAGCTGCAACAGACCATTCTACTTGTGCTTGGGGTCAGTGACCCTTGACCCTCAACCCTCATCCAATGGCATCCTAAAATCACTTCTGGTCTGGAAACAGAGAGAGAGAGCTGCCCTGGTCGAGGGCACACAGACACAGAAGCGCTGAAGCTAAAACCGTCTAAAAAAAGCAGGCGCCCAGCTGGACGAATGCACTGATAGGACCCAGAGTCCCAGGGGTGGAGGGAGAGACGGAGGAGGGGGTGAAGGAAAAGGAGCGCCCATCTTCTCAGCCTGTCCATCGCTGCCTGGTCTCAGGAGGGAGTGGGGAGGTCAGGGATCAAAGTGCGAAGATCAGGATGAGAACGATGAGCACAGTCACCACCAGAACCCCAATAGCGCACCACTGTCGCCGGCCTGACAGACAAAGGGACAGATAGGACATGGTGAGGGAGAGAGACTGACAGGACACACTGAGTGAGAGAGACGGACTCACAGACAGGACACACTGTGAGAGAGACAGACTCACAGACTCCAACTCGGTGACAGACACACACACTGTGAGAGAGACAGACTCACAGACTCCGACTCGGCCACAGACAGGACACACCGTGAGAGACAGACTCACTGCTAGTCATGTGAGAGACTTTCTCCATCTTCTTCAGCACAGAGTTCATCCGGGAGCTGGTGTGATCCATTTCCTCAGCAAACTCACCCAGCATCCTGCAGAAACCACATGGTTCAGCTGTGCCTCGGCACACAGACTACAG